AAAAAAAATCTATTTTAGGCACTATAGATCCCTATAGAATAAAAGAAACAGGTTTCCAAGAGGTAGTGGTAAAAAAGTCTGAAAAACATTAAAGGTTATTGGGTTTTTAATGAAAGAAAAACACAAATAAAGTCTGAAAAACATGAAACCTAGCATGAGCTCATTATATGATGCCAAGAGGTAGTGGTAAAAAATTGAGAATATCTCGCGATTGTTGTAACATATAGTGCTAAGAAACCGGACCATCGTGGATAAAGAATTTTGGTTTCGAGAGGGAGCGGTCAAATTTGATGGAAAATCAACCACTTCTTCACCCATTGACCATGAAACTTTTTCTGCACTCAACATAAATCATTACATATTCCATCTAATTATTTGCCGTTTTGGGGCTATGTTTTCTATATTTAAGTTATTTAGTTTATTTCTAAGCATTTAGTGAATATAATTAAAATTTGAACTGCAAGTGTATGAAAAGGTTGGCTAAAATGAGTTAAAATTTTATTTGTGTTAATGACTAGTTTTAGGTCTTGTCCAATAAAAGGAAAGGAATTCCGAACATGAGGGTGACGCTGAAGATAGTATCAGCAATGATTTCTAGATGTATACGATGATAGTTCTAGTGACATTTTATGTCCATCGCTGAAGATAGTTTCAGCGACGTTTTTAAGTTTGTCAGCTAGGATGTGATCTTGCATGGCGGAAAAAATGGTACCATCAATATTTCATTTTTTATGACGGTGCTTCGGTGATGGTGGAGGTGATGGCCGGAAAACGTACCCAGTATATTTTCCCTGATGAAAAACGGTTATATGTGATAAAAGTGAAACGTTGCAAAACAGAGCAAAATTTGTAGTGATGGCTCTTACAATCTAGGGATAAGCATCCGATTATTCAAATATTCCTTACGCCAAGTCTTTGGAGGGTTCTGTCATGATTACGCCGAGGGACAGGGCATGCAGGGCCCATTCTTCAGTTACCGGTGGGTCCTTGGCCCGACGCATGAATGGAGGGGTGACATCGCATGCATCCCCTAGTCTGGGACACTATCAACGGGTCATCGCGATGAAGCCGCCAAGGCTGGATCAGACCGGTGGGTGCATCCATGAGCGGGGGGCGTCGATCTTCACTAGAAACAGAGAATGCCGGCGACAACCTCATCGCCTACACGACCCAAGTTGCGTACAAAACTTGCGGCCGCCGTTCGCGACAGAGCTAGTGCCGCCCGCACAGCATGAGGCCGCCGCCCCGGCATCCATGCATCACGAACCAATATGTCAAGAAGCCCCT